GGAAACGAAAGCGTTTTGGTGACCTAAAAATGTAAAATCGTAAGTTTTTAAGTTTTAAAGCGCGATTTTGACTGCATTGGTTATGAGAGTTCATTGTGTTGTAGTTCAGGACTTGAGATCCTGGAAGAGGACTTGAGAACTCATTATAGTAAACAATGATATGTTGTTTATTCAAGTCCATGCATCGAATCATCTTTTGTTTTTTGCTCGAGTCCTGATCTACAACATCTGGTTTTAGTAGACATATTAATTTTTTTGAATAGTCTCTTTGTGGGAAACACATTAATTGCAGTTTTTATTAATTCGTATTATCGTCAGTTTTTATGATTCGGAGTATTATTTGGGGTATTCCGGAATAAACAGGGAGTTGATTGTTATATTTAATTAGTTGGGTAGTAGAAGAGGATTAGACGGATTATATAATCTGGACTAGAGGCATTATTTTCATTAGGCAAATAATTAATCAAAACCCTAAACTAGCATCTCTATCTCTCTTCTTCTCTCTCCGTGCGCCAACTCTCTCTTCCTCTCTTCCCCAAGTGCTGCGACAGCAGCAACCAATTCTTTCCCCTTGTTCTTTCTTTTCCCAAATCTCAACCCTAGCTAGATCAATCCCTAATTGATCTAGCTAAATTCCCCAATTCCTATCACGTTAGAAACCTTGTTTCTAACATCTGGTATCAGATCCTGGCTCAAGAGTGAGTTCCTCTGAACTCTTGAACCAGGGAAGGCAACGATGGTATTGACAAAATCAATGAAGGCGGCGGAGAAGGCAGCGCAAGCAGCCGAGAGGAGCACCAAGGCGGGCGATGTTGGTCTCGACGGGGTGGTGATGGAAGACGTCACCGAGCTGGAGGCGGTGAAAATGGTAGTGCACGAGCACTCTGATGCGCTGGCTCGGCTCGAAGAAGGCCTGGCAAGAGTGCAGGCGGACGCGAAGGAGGATGCTGATGATCTGCGACAGAGGCTGGAGGACCTGATGCGGGCGATTGCCTCGCTGCAGGCAAAGGGGAGCGGAGCAGGGGGAGCGCCGATTCCGGCTGAGTCGGCGATCGAAGGAGGCGGCGGACCTGGTGCGGCAGCGGCGGCGGCGACGGCGTCGGCGGCGCAGGCGGGCGCGGTGCTCGCGGCGGCCAGGGCAGGCGGGACGGCCGGCGGCGGGGCGATTGCGGCGAAGGCGGCCGCGGCTCAGGCCGATGCGTCGATCGCGGCGGCCAAGGGAAGCAGGGCGGCGGACATCGGGCCGGGCTGGGTTGATCGAACTGTAGTAGGGTTGGGCTCGGGTCTGTTACCGACACCTACGGCCCAAGAGATTGCGGCCCGGAAAGGAAAGGCTAAGATGCCCGGGTATGACACAGACGGGCCTCCTATGAATAATGGGCCGGGATCGTTGGGCCATTACACGAAGGTCCATAACGGGCTGGGATGGTTGGATCTGGAAGATGGGCCCGAGTATGACAAACTGAGCTTGGCGGATCAGCAGGCCCAGTGGGCTGAACAGGAGATGGACCAGAGGGGGCCTGGTGGGCCGAGGAGGGCCGCCGACCAGATGGGGCCAGGAGGGTCGGCTCCTATGGGGCGGACCGCAGCGGACAGGGCAAGGGCGGGTCGGACCGGGATCGGGCAGACCGACGTGACCGAACCGAGTTGAGCCAAACCGGTCCGGGTCGGGCCAGAATGGGTCGACCCGAGGTGGGTCGAACCGGACATCGACCGAGGCCGACTGCTCAGCCGACCAGAAGGATGGACAGCAGGGGGCCAGTAGGCTGGGAGGGTCCGTACGAGGCACCTCACGCTCCAGGAGGGTACCCGAACCTACAAGGCAGCTACCAGGGTGATTATGGACACGGGAACCCAAGCCAGGTGAAGTGCTCTTCTTTGGGGCAGCCGTGGAGGACCCTAGGAAATTACATGTATGGGTCCCACTATCTGAACTATGAAGGAATGGATGGAGTAGTTTTTCGAGCTAAGCCTCCCACCATTGAGTTTCCCAAATTCAATGGGCAAGAGGATGCAGGCCTTTGGTTGTATGCAGTTGAGAGCTGGTTTAAGAACCACCCAATTCCGGAGGAGAGGAAGGCCTATCTGGCATCGTTCTATTTGGAGGGAGATGCGCTCCAGTGGTGGGAGTGGATGGAGAGATCCTACGCAGCCACATCAACTTTGATCACCTGGCCCATGTTTCAGGAAGAGCTCCGCTATCAGTTTGGGAAGTCAGATGGGTGGGCTCTTGAGCAATTGGCGAAGCTGAAGCAGACCGGCACGGTGGCTGAGTACCGTGCGGAGTTCTTCAAGTTGGGGAACCAGTGTAAAGGAGTCTCGGAGGACACCTTGGTGGGGCTGTGCATGGCGGGTCTTAAGCCCGAGATAGCAGCGGCAGTCAGAGTGTTCGAGCCCGATTCTGTGAAAACTGCTTTTCGTCTTGCAGGTCATAAGGAGGAAGAACTGGCGAGCTGGAGGAGTACCATTGGCCGCTTCTCAAGGCCGAGTGGAGGAGGAGGAAGCAGTGGGAACAGTGGCGGCACAGGAGGGGCGCCAGTGGGAGGCTCGACGAGGGCTAATATGGGCACCGGAGGCCCTGCTCCGGTGGCTAGGGTGGGACTGCGGGCCATACCAAAAGGGTTCGTGCGACTGTCGCCGGCTGAGATTGAGCAGAAGCGGCGGGAGGGCAAGTGCTTCAATTGTGATGGCCGGTTCACCGTCGGACATCAGTGCCCGAAGCCGGATTTGATGATGTTGGTCGGGCGCTGGGAAGATGAAGCAGAAGATGAGGCCGAGGACGTCGGAAATGGCGAGGAGGAGACCTAGTGAGCTAGAGGAACAACCTTGGGGACAAGGTTGTTTTTCGAAGGAAGCGGGGATGTGGGAAACACATTAATTGCAGTTTTTATTAATTCGTATTATCGTTGGTTTTTATGATTCGGAGTATTATTTGGGGTATTCGAGAATAAACAGAGAGTTGATTGTTATGTTTAATTAGTTGGGTAGTAGAAAAGGATTAGACGGATTATATAATCTGGACGAGAGGCATTATATTCATTAGGCAACTAATCAATCAAAACCCTAAACTAGCATCTCTATCTCTCTTCTTCTCTCTCCCTGCGCCAACTCTCTCTTCCTCTCTTCCCCAAGTGCTGCGGCAGCAGCAACCAATTCTTTCCCCTTGTTTTTTCTTTTCCCAAATCCCAACCCTAGCTAGATCAATCCCTGATTGATCTAGCTAAATTCCCCAATTCCTATCACATTAGAAACCTTGTTTCTAACACTCTTCAACTTGCATTATAATCGACTCTGATTGTGGAATGAAACATGTTCTAGGACGATTGCAGTGCTCAAGACAATGTGTAGAACTCTGAGACACAGAACTTTGAAGTGCCTTGTGGCAATATTCTGCTTTCCGATGGGTTACTCAACTGGTGTCTGTATTGAATAAAGTATGACATTGTTTCAATTATTTTTTGATCGATAGAAACATCTATTAAAGATTACGGTGAAGACACCCTTAATACTAGACATGGTGTCTTGTAAGGTTGTTGTAGTTTTTACTCCCCTCTCAGAATGCAGCAAGTAGACTTTTTTCATGGTATACTTTGCATTTAGGATCATCGTTGATGCGTGTGGTCTATGGAAATCTTAGGGAGAGCTCAATTCTTGCTTGTACTGAGCATTTATTTTCTAGTGGTGGTCACTTCTATTGACTGCATCTCGTCGCTTATATCTGAACGGAAAGTGTAGTGGTTTAAGTGTTGCAAGGAAAATTGTGATTGCAGCATACATCAAAAGTTTTGTGCCCCGGGTTTTTTTTCCTTCTACTGACCAAATGAGTATATTATTAATCAGCAGCTGGTATTCAGTTTTTTCACTTTATTGCAGTTTGCTCAAACCACGTATTGGTGGGTGCAAAGCGAGTGCTTGTACAGGCATGTAAGGAGCATATAAGCGCAGCGGAAATGCTATATCCCCATGTTACTGTTTAACAGAAGGCCAGACCAGCCACCGGTGGTGAGCACGTTTGTTGTTTTGCTTTGTTGGTGCTCGAATGAAGTGGCCTTGAGGGTGTTATTTGATGAGGAAGATTGTTATGTGATATGCACTCAGTGAATGATTGTGTGTTGATTGTTGGAAAATGAAATGCAACATCAAGATTTCATGCCAAATACGAAATTTGTAGTATTGGAGGCAGATTCGTAGGACGAATTCGAGCTTTGGGTTCAAAGTTTGCCATGACAGGTCTAATTTTGGTTTGATTTTTTTCCTACTCCAGAAACCAAGTAGTTACAAAGTTTGTCATGATGATATGTAATTTGAGGAGGGCAAGCAGGAAAGTTGAAACCCAAGTTTTGATATATGTTTTACTCCTGTTACATGCAATTGAGCATTAGTTTTGTTTCCCAATTCCTTTGCTTTCATTTGTTCAGCAAAGGGAAATGTCAGATGTGTAATGCGTTTTAATTAGTTAGGTTGAGATACTAGAAGGAGAATTTGGCATCTTCAGAGTGGTATGTTTGTGATGGTAGAAGATGATATTGTAATCCAGTCACTCTTTATCTGGTCGTTGAGTAGCTTGCTATACATGGCATTGGTCTGCGAACTGGTCAGTCCAGCAATTTGAGACGACATAGCAGCCTATTAACTGATTGTATATAGAGTCCGGGGTGTGAGTTGATTTTCCTCTGTTAAGTTCTGATGCGAGTTCAGGAACCGTATGATTCAGAGTACTCTATCGGTGAAGGTATTTCAACTACCCAACAGTTTGGAGACTCGATTACATCTGTTTGTTCCTCTTCTGTATATAAATTCTTTCTTGTTTGCATGGCTCTTTAATGTCTAGTCAGATCTGATTCCCTTGGGACAATGAATTGCAGTGGGCTATTATGAAGTTTAGAGGGAAAACCCCTGCTGCAAAATACTAGAAGACCAATCAGGAATGCCTTGATCAGTGTACTATGGAGGGAACAGTGCTCCTGTCGATTTGCAGGTTACGGGACAAGTCTGCGAACTGATGCGAGAATAGAAGTATATATACACTATAGACTGCAAAAAATTACGCATACAGACTGCCTTCAACCGTGAGACTCTGCATAGCTAGTCCGACATGGCATCATCAAGAATTGATCCTAAGCGAAGTTTTCTTTTTAAAATTCTAACATGTGTGAAAATTTCAAGTCTGTTATGCATTCGATTCAGCAGACAATATAACGTTTGTTTATTCCAGCAGCCTTCAAGAACATCTGCATGAACAAAAACAACAGGCAAGAGATGCCTAATCACTCAGTTCTTCTGTTTGTTGTGCTTTTCCCCTTCGAACGCATCAAGAGATCACCAACATATAGTTTCCAAACGGTTTCCCTGTGCATCTAAAAGAAGGAATTAGATTGATCATATCAACAATTTGCATTCCAGTGTATTAGTAGATATCTCCTTAACGTCGACAAAGCTCCATTACCTGGATAAATTTCCTGCATGTCGAATAAGTTACAGACCTTCTTTTGACATGGGACGAAGATCTTTATCTGAACCAAGCGAAATCTCCCATGTGCTGTAGAATTAAGCACTGCTGAAAATACAATAGCAGCCATAAGATATTATTAAATCAAGCTGGGAGTACGCAAAGCTTATAAACGTCTTTTCACACAAAAGCAACTACTGAGATGGCATAACCACATGCACTCTACAGAATTACCATACTGTATGAAATGCAGCTTCTTCCTTCAACAACTTAAGCCACCATTAATGGGGAGATGTAACAGATCGTATAAGGCCATATGGGGTAAATAACAACAATATTCTCATTACAATGATACTCTAATGAGTAGGCTCAACAAAATAATTGATAAGTAATTGTAGCTAGAGGCAGTGACTTGAAGAATAACATGGCAGAAATGCACAATTCTGAACAAGCAAGTACAATTCCCAAAGATTATGAACACTACATAATGTCATCATCCATGTTCATACTATAGACTACAAGAGTGGTAGTATTTTTCTCAGACTGTAAACTTAGATGCACTACAAACAATGCATGACAAGAAGTGTCTGTTATTTACAAACAACACCAGGACAGTTAACCTGAAAGACGACATTCTGCAGTTAGGCATGTCACTGAAAAGTGAACAAGCAACAAGATTAACTGAGTCTGTTGGCCTCTAAGTTCCCAGCTATGCATTTCACGTCATTGACTCATTTCTAACTGGTAGCATTGATCTAAGACAATTTAGAGAATAACTGTAGGAGGTAAAGATGGAAGCTGGTCCAATGCTAGCAAGTCATTGAGGGCAAACCTTGTGATGACAGCATCGGGTTTGAATCAAGTCCATTACATGTTTAATTCAATTTGAATAAGACATGCAAAGAGTTCTGCAAACGGAGAAAACAAGCTGAAGGCATCATTCGCCCTGCAGCCGTCCCTTATATAGGCTGTTATCATTGCGCTATATGCAGCAGAGCTTTTGCAAGGGATTTCGTCAAATACCTTCCATGCTTTTGCAAGTTTGGCCATTCTGAGAGTAAGCAGTGAGGATAGCAGTATAGGAAATGAGGCTTTTGTAGGACAGTTGTCTAAAGAATGAAGATTGCTTCGGACTGATGGATGTTACCCTCTCTGCCACGCTCGGTGATCAGGGGATTGCCGTGAACCACAATCTAGTCAAAGGGTCCACGTTTCTGAACCAGTTTCAGGTAAATACTGAGAATTTCAACAACGAAATTTTTTGAGGGAGAATACCAGACCCTAAAACAAATAATAAGAAATTAAGAACACAAAGAAGAATCACCATTCTATCACAAACCTCTTGGCTCTACCTTTCATTTATCCCTCTGGATTGGCGATGTGCCCTGTCTACCTGCAGATTAGAAGGCTTAGTTTAGAAAGTGAAGTAACTTCCCAAAAAATTTGTGTACAAAGAATCAGATAGCATTCAAGAGACCACATCATTCGATAGATGCAAACCAGATCAGATTGGCAAGTTTATCAGTCTTACAGAAGTATGTAAAATTCAGCCAAGTAGCTAACTTGGGCATTTCTGCCTTCCTTCCTTCAGGCATGCAAGCATCATATTTTTCACTGCAACGCCATTATCATCCACACCTTTCATAACTATCTAACCGTACAAGTTATCTGCTTCACTGAATATTCCCTCATTCACTTAGAACCATATCAATAAATGGCAAAGATGGTATCAAAGCAATAGTGTACAACTTAGAGCATCTCAGCTCCAGCACAACTATTCAGCAAAGTAATAAAAATAAAAACTTCTTTGGTATATGATATAAAAGAAAACTTGAAAAGAGACAATTCCTCCTATCAACCTACTAAGTTTATGAGATTGATTGATTACTTAGTTGAAGTTAAAAATTGTAGTTCATTGTAGGGTATTTCCCAATTTTTTGTAGTTTGGAATTGGGACAGGTCCGAGACTAACACTAACCTTCAAGATCGTACGATCTAATGCAGTCCCATACTAACATTGGTAAATTAAGACCTCTAGCTCTTCTCTCTTCAAATTGCAGGAAATCATAGCAATCCGAGAGACCTGATGAAAAAACATTTGAAAAATATAATTTCCTAGTTCTTTGAATGTTGACCAACTACACATAACATGAGTTATTAGCTCTTAGATGTAGTCTCTGTATCTAACAATTACAATGCGACTCATCAAAGTCTTCAACGAGACTTCATCTAGTTCTGAACAACATTAGATCAAGATCCTCTCTTCGTACAGCCACACTCAAGCCTTCTCACTCCAGCCCAACACTGCCGAGAAACGCGATTTATGTCTTCTCCGGCTGTTGACCAACTGCCTCTATTCTTCTAACCTCTTCCACTACTTCTAGTCTCTTCAACTTGCAAGTGAAGTTGGCCAGAGAGTGATAATAGGGTGGAACACCAGTTGATCCTGTTGATCACGATCAGCCGGATGAGCAACCAACTCCACTTTTTCCCTCCTCATGTCACAGGAAAAGATAGTAAACCGATTGTCAGCAACAGAACCCCCAAAGAAAAGAATTTCCGGCTTCTCTGGATGTAGACCAACTACATAATATAACTCTAATTCCGAACACTTAATTTCACCACCGTGCCAACGCTTTAAGTTCTTCACCGACACTTCGTAATGTTTATTCCAATCATTTTGTTCTAGTCTCCAAACGCTCAAGACATCCTCTAGGAAAAAAATCATATGCAACGCACCTTGTGAGACCCAAAGGGAGGAACCAGGTTTGAAACCATAAGCGTCAGTTAGAGTTGGCTTCCTCTCATCATCATCATCATCGTCGCTATGGAGGAGGAAAGGATTCCACTCGAAAAACTGTCCTAGCCCATTCTCCCAATACAACCTCCCATTCAGCGAAACTGCAACATTGTGAGGATTCCAATGTGGTGCTATGCCATACGAAAAGGCTATCGACCCCAACCATTCCTCAGAGTTCGAACGGAATACCTGGAATACCGTAATTCCGGCCTCCAATTCGAACATACGCACCACGCAGAATCGATAGTCCGAATGGTGAGTGATTGCTTCTTCTGCGTCGCCCAAATCCAATGTAATAGAATTGCAGGGCTCACACACCAATCTCGCAGTCCATCTCCCCTGCCTCGACGTGAGCATGGGAGGCGCTAAAGGAATGGCGACCCATTGCTTTGAAAAGGGATTGCAGACCAAGAACCTTCTGCCCGACTCAGCGTCATTCATGCTCTCCTCGACCCCTATCAAGAGCAAGTCCTTGTTGCAATCCAAAATGGATCGGACTTCACTCTTCACGGGTGGTAGAAAGCTACAGACCGGTCCCTGGGCGTCTGAGGCGATCAGAAAGGGCGGTTCGATTTCTCCGGCGGATAGGATCTGGCGGCGGTGAGAGTAGGGGTGTGCAACGGTTCGGTTCGGTCCGGACCGGACCAAACTCATGAGAACCGCGGTCCATTAGTGAAAGACATGTTAGGACCAAGGACCGGACCATTCTTGCATTTGGTCCATTTGGTCCGGTTCGGTCCGGTCCAAATATGAGCTCGGTCCACCATTTCTTCAGTAATTATAAAATTCATTAGGACCAAGGACCGGACCACATTTTACTCGGTCTGGTCCGGTCCGGTCTTAACAACGGTTTGGTCCGGTATGGTCCGGTACAGACCGGACCATTGCACACCCCTAGGTGAGAGACCAAACGGCGGGCGAAGTCAGGAGCGGAGATTAGGGAGTTCAAACGCTTGCAAACTGGTTTGGATCGGAAGATGGATTTAGGATTCGGGAGGCGAATAAGGAGCTCTATCAGGAGATCGTCTCCGAGTTTGCTGATGGGGGACAGGGAGGTGGAGGTAAGTCTTTTCCGGTGGTAATTGTCGGTCGCCATTGCTGCAGTAGACGAGGTGGAGCTTTAGGGAAATCCCAATTTGTTCGAATCTTGCACAATTTTTTTTCTTTTTAATTTATACGACTGCGGCATAGAGATGGCAATCAAACCCATGGCCGCGGGTATCCGACCGTTCCCGACCCAGTCAACGCGGGGAATCTCCACTTTAACCAGGTATGTGGCGGGTATGGTTTTAGCCTCCCCGCCTCATACCCATCCCCATACCCGCCCCACCAAGATAATTTCTCCATATATAAAAAAATATGTGCGTCAAATTATAATCTATAAATGATGATGCAAATAACTTGAGAAAATAAATAGTAGAAATGCAATTGAGTGGACACTTTAATCAAAACCTAATTCATTTCTCTCAATTCTCATTTCACTCTTTCACTTTTCCCATTGTCAACAAAATTATATTAGTTAATTATTATTTAGTAGATGTATCAGAGTTAGAACATAATAATTTGAAAAATATTATACTATATATTATGTATTAATGGATATTTTAGGATCATATTCTTTGAACCATATTAAAGAAATGGCCGTGTTTTGTTGACTTCATGATATAATATGTTCGTTTAGAGTTATAATTAAAACTTTTCTTGTAAGTTTTAGGTATAATAATGTTAGATGTACGGGTATGGGTATTACCCATGGGTACCCGAAACCCACGGGTATGGGGATGGGTTTGCAAAACATTCTCCTGCATGGGTATGGGGCGGGTATGGGTTTGGGTATTTGAAGATGGGTATGGGGATGGTTTAGGCAAACCAGCCGCCCCAAACCCGCCCCATTGCCATCCCTACTCCGCCAAAGAATGGAATAAAGCCCGACCTGACTCCGGCCCATTATTATCCAACATTCCAAGGCCCACACATATTTTTATTTCGGAATGATATCAATAGATGACAAGAGTTAAACATACAATTCTATCCATGACCTCTTAAAAAATCTAATAAAGCCACCTCAAAAAATAGAAAGATTGTAGCTTTAGATGAGACAAAAGCAGTGCTTTACGCACCACTTTATGAGCAACACTGTTGGCGGTTCTGGGTACCGCCCTAAACTCTATACAAACAGACAAAGAGTTTAGAATCTCACGACACTCTCGTAACACCGAACCACCAATTGAGTCTTCTAAGACGCCTTGTAGGACCTGATTGACGATCACTTCGGAGTCACCTTCGACTAACACGTGAGTCAAAGATCTTGAGGCGACGATGGAGATAGCGTCTCTAAAGGCTAGAAGCTCTGCCAGATAAGGGTTAACAATTCCTTAATGTTGTAGCCCGAATGCTAACATCACATGCCCGTCTGACCCACGGACAACAAGCCCAGACGAACACCCGGTGGCACAAACAACAGCGTCGGAATTGCCTTCAAATAGTCTTCTGGCGGAAGGACCCACGTGGTGGCAGGATGGTTTTGGAGGAGGGAGGAAAAGGTTGGAGATTTCAAGGACCTGATTGTAGAATTGTCTGGCTAGGGAACAGACATGAGGTTGGTAGAGTTCAAAAGTCACTTTATTTCTAGAATTCCAGATTCTCCAAAGTAAGCAAACGCATTCGAGAACGTGGAATGGGGAGGTCTTAGAGACCATAACATCTCGTCACCATAGACTAAAGTTAACAGTCTAGGCGGTCTCAATAAAGTTGCTCAATCCCACTAACGAACACAATCTGGTGGCTAGGGGGCATCTGATGAATAAATGTTCAATACTTTCTCGATGTCTCTAGCAGACAGGGCATCGGTTTAGGCGGTTTTGTCCACAGGTTTGAAGGGTCGTCACTGTGGGGAGAATGACTTTGAAGCATTGCCATATGAAAATTTTGAGCTTAGGCGGGACTTGGATTTTCCAAGTCTTTTTCCAAATAGGAGGGTCGATGATATGTACTATCGGTTTCCGGCTAGAAGCCAATGTTAAATTCCAGAGCTAGGTGATAACCCGATTCAACTGTATATTCCATCCTTGGAATAGTGTCACACTCTAATATCTTGTTGAGGGCAACGAGGTAGAGGGATCCTCCTCATGAGATCAACAGAGTGAGGTTCGAAGCAAAACTGGAGCTTTGGTGTCGTTTGCTTCATGGATTTAAAAATGAGGGTTTTGTAATTTAAAAACCCAAGGATTTATCAAGGATTTGAGGCATCATGGATTTGTAACAATCCTTTGTTTGTTGGGATGTTTTTATCATGGATTTAAAGGTGTGGGATTTACTACTTGAAGTCAAAAATTACATTACTGCCCTTTTCTATATGTTTGACATGTTTATGATATGTACACAAAACAAGGACAAAACTTCAAAATTACCTTACTATCATTTTCTATATGTTTGACATGTACACAAAACAAGGACAATACATACTAATAAGCATAATGTTGCCACATGGACAATAATAATAAACGAGAAAATTCCGTTTTAACTTTTAACGTAACATAATCAATTACCAATTCTTTGTCCTCCTTTTCAAAAGTAACATATAACAACATATATTAGAATCGGGAGAACAAAGAATTACACGTTCCATGAAAAGGTTAAAGAAAACTAGAACACAAGAAATGATATAAAAAATCTAACTCATGTTTGCACATTAATTGAACGTTTATATTATTAATTTATTGTTAATTATAATGTATAATAGTTAAATTTGAGGGCAACTTTGGAATATTAAAAGTGCATGAGGGTATATGGGTAAAATCTTATCAAGGATTTATGCCATATTCCAAATCCCACATCAACATGTGAGATTTATAAGTCCGTGGGGTCCACGGATTTGGACCCTTAAAATCCGTGGGCCCCACGGATTTGGTCTCCAAAAAAGGTGCAAGCAAACAACGGATTGTACCTAAATCCTTGATAATTGGTTTTTTGGTACCAAATCCAGGTACCAAATCCTTGAAGCAAACGACCCCTTTGGAATATCCCACTCTTCTTGGTCTTCTCTAATGAAATAAGATACCATAGGCGATCCATTTGGAATATGGGGCCGGGTATTCGGGATTAAAGGTTTATCCCCCGATACCCAGTTATCAATGAATGCCCAAGTTTTTTGCCCGTTGCCTATTTGCCATCTTAGTCCCTATAGAAGCAGGTCTCTTCCGAAGAGTAAACTTCTCCATCCCCACGAAGGGTTTGAGCCGATTGATGTTTCCAGTACTGAGCATTGAGTAAAGTATCGACCCTTATAAATCTCGGAGAGGAGAGAGTTTGGGTTTGTCCAAATTCTCCAACATTGTTTAGCTAGCAGTGCTTGATTGAAGGCTCCGAAGTCTCTGAACCCGAGACCTCCATGAAATTTGCTATGAGCTAGACTTTTCCAAGACAACCAGTGGATTGGGTGTTCTGAATCCACACACGAATCTTGAAATTACAATTTACATACCGCGAAAGGCCCACACGAATGGGGACTGCACTGTCACATTGAGATAGTTTTACACTAGGGGTCGTTTGGATGTGGAAATATAATGCAGTAATTGGACCCAATTACCACATAATGCAGTAATTGGGTTAAAAACCCACGTTTGGCAGAGCAAGAAGGGTATGGAAATTGGACCATGGAAATTGGCTCCAATTACCACATTCATTGTAATTGAGAATACTACATCTCCCCCTAGTAATTTGACATTACCACGTTTTCTTCCTTCTATTTCCAAATGTGTCCTTATGTCCTTCCTCTCCTTTCTTCCTTACTCCTCCGATTTCGCCTAACTATTTCTTACAAGAATAGCTCCTTTTTCTTCATTCATCAATGGCACCTTTTCTTCTTCATCTCCCCTCACCTTCGTATATTTCCTCTAATCCGTCGTCAATTTTTTAATTTTGGATTCGCTTAATTATCTCATTCACCGTCAATTTTCTTGCTTCTCCTCATTGAATTCGCATAAACACTTTTAATATCCGTATTTAATGAATTAAATTGTTAATTTTATTATAATTTATGTATGTACTTATTATTCAAATAATTAAGTTTATATATTTATGGCTTTTAATGTACTATTAAATGTAATATTAGCTTAGAGATGAAGTAAAATAATCGTACGTATTTTATACGTAACTTTTCCATATCATATTTTTCTAACTATGCTTAAGTTAGCAACAATTAGTAGTTAGTATAATACAACAACAACCATTAGGAGGGGTATATGTATATAAACAAAAGAGGGCATTTTCGTATTTTTACCAAATTCCACACCATCAATTCCCACAAAACTAAACCCTATCCAAACGTGGAATTTTGTTCAATTTCCACAAGTCAATTCCTTGATTTTGTAAAACATGGAAATTCATACAAATTCCCACGTTTTCAAATTTCCACATCCAAACGACCCCTAAAGTGCAACTTAGCAAAAGTATGAGGACTCAAGTGTAAGAGATTAGAAGTATAGATATAGGTTTCAAAATATTTAGGGATCCATATTACACCTTCAACTGTGAGACTGGAAATAGGGCACTAGCAATAATGGATTCTATATACAAATTGGATGTAATTTTACATTGAACTACCCAAACTTTTTGAACCTATTAACATATGTGAACTTATTTTTATTCATTTACAACAATAACATACATGAATTTCATGTCTGCTATGCATCAGATTCAGCAGACAATACTTGTTTGTTCCTTTCAGAAGCATCATAACCTTCAAGAACATCTTGCATGCACAGAAACAACAAGCAAAAGATGCCTAATCCCTCACCGGATTCAGCAGACAATACTTGTTTGTTCCTTTCAGAAGCATCATAACCTTCAAGAACATCTTGCATGCACAGAAACAACAAGCAAAAGATGCCTAATCCCTCACCGGTTTCAGTTCACTGCGTAATTACTAATTAGCAATTACCCTTCAGAAACAACGGAAGACTCTCGTCCTTAGGTCCAAAAAGTTTTCCCAGTTCATCTAAAAGAAGCAAAAGGACTGATCATATGAATAAATTGTATTTCAATATATATTGCGTCAATGGTAACGAAATTCCATTACCTGGATAAATTCCCTGCATATCGAATAAGCTGCAGGCCACTGTTTGACCCGGTGAGCTAAGATCACCCTCCGAATGAGAATACATCTCCATAGTGCTGCGGCATTAAAACACTACAGGATATACGAGGGCAGCCTTTAAGCTATTGTATCAAGCTCAGAATATGCGAGGGTATAAAAGTTTACTTGCACAAAAGCAACTCAAAAGACAGGACAACTGCAAGCAATCAACACAGTTACTACTGGGTGCAATGCAGCTTAGTCCTTCGATAGGCCGCTATTATGGGGAGATACAAGAGATTGAACAGAGCATATGGGGTAAATAACAATAAGACTCCACACTGGAATACTAGACTGATGAATGGAATCCACAAATAAGATGATTAGTAATGACTAGAGGCAGTGATGAGAAGTAGAAGGCTCTGTAAGCACGGAGTGAAACATAGAGGAGTGAACAGCATGGGGACAAAAATAACATAGTAGAAATGCAAAACTCTAAACAAGAATATAAACCATACAGAAAAGCTTATGAACTCTGCATAATATATGCAACTATTACAGGTAACGGAGACCACGGTATCTCACATAGACTGCAACTAATCAATTATAATCATTGCATGATAGAAGACGTGTCTGTTCATTATAAACAAATGGACAGTTAATCTGAAACGAGATATGTGCCGCATGTTAGAGGCATGCTATTGAGTAGTGACAACTGAACTAGAAACAGCCGAAGTCAGTCTTCTGGCCTCTAAGTATGCATGTATATCTTTAATTCTATTCTTTCAGTTAGCAGTAAATTAAGATAATTAAGAGGACTATAGCAGATGCAGATGAAAGATGGTTCAATGTAATCGAGGGCAAACCTTGTGACGGCAGCATCATGTTTGAATGCAGTCCAAGTAGATGTTTACTTCCTCACATAAGCTCAATTTGAATTGGCAGGCAAAAAACTTGAATTTTTTTCCTGCAACGGTTTATGCACTGAAACTTGATGTCGGAATAAGCAACGCTGCTTTCCTGCACACTTCCGGGTTGATTTAGGTATACTGGAACAACAAAGAAGCAGAACTTGTGTTAACTTTAGGGATTGATGCTTCACGTTTCCAGAAATAGCAGTTTAGGATGGTTCAGTAAGCAAATAAGAAAATCCACACCATCTAATCACCTTGGCCGTGGGTGATGTGTTCAAACTTCATCTCCAGTCTTGATAAGAAACGTAATGACCTCCAGGTCCCTGTGAACGGCAGCCAACATAATGTGTCCAATCTAATTGCATGCACAAATGAGCCTTTGTTTATCACTCAATCCAGCTGCACCCTGGATTTTTCTTTACACGCAATGTTTCTTTAAGCAATCTAACTTGATTACCATCCTTCCTTGCTCCCATAATGTCATAAAGGTCGGACAAGACTACATAAGGAGTTGCATTAGCAGGATCTAGTTCAGTAAGGCGCTGAGCTGCAACATTTGCCAGATCAAGACGAAAATGATTTCTGCTTGACCCCAGTAGAGCACCCCAAACTCCAGAGTGTGGCTCAATACTGCTGGACTGGATTAAATCAGTAGCTTCATCCAACAATCCTGCTCTGCCAAGTAGATCAACCATGCATGCATAGTGATCAGGACCGGGTTCAAGGCCATATAAGGACTTCATGGAATTAAAATATTCACATCCTTGTTCTACTAGACCTTCATGTACACAAGCTGACAACACTGCAAGAAAGGTGATTTCATTTGGCTTGAAGTTTTCAGCCTGTATTTTGGCAAACAGCTTAACGGCTTCTTCCCCAAGCCCATTTTGGGCAAATCCAGTGATCATTGAGTTTATAGACACAATGTTGGGTGCATTAATCTTTTTGAAGATGGTATATGCTTCAGCAACATTGCCACATTTTGAGTACATTGAAACCAACGAATTCTGAACACTCAATTCATATTCCATACCCTTTTTCACCAGAAGACCATGGATCTGTGTTCCAGCTCTTAGTGTTGCTAAGCAAGCTGAAGCACTAAGCATGATACTTAGTGTCAGCGAGCTTGCATGGACTGAATCCCTTAGCATCTCAATAAACCAAGTAAACGCCTCCTCACACATTTCCATGTCAACAAAGCCTGAAATGACAGCAGTCCAAGCAATATCATCTTTTTTAGGCATCATCTTGAATAACTGAATAGATCTTTCCACTTCTCCTATGCCAAGGTATCCCGAGATTATGGTTGTCCAAGAAATAGAATCTCTGTTTGGCATCATCTCAAAGAGCTCATAAGCTTTCTCAATTTCCTTGTGTTGAATATAACCAGCAATCAGTGCATTCCAGGAAACTATATCTTTCTTGCTGATAGACTGAAATACTGCATTTCCTTCATTCACGTAACCACATCTGCAGTACATTGTTATAATAGAATTTCCTAGAAATACATCCATTACAAATCCCATCCGCAAAACCAAACTATGCATCTGTAAACCTTCTCTAAGCACCCCAAAATTACCACAAGCTTCAAACATTACTGTCATCATATTTGGATTAACCGCAACAATTCCTTCCCTCCTCATATGAATAAACAAATCAAATCCATCTTTAAACAACCCATTGTTCATGTAGCCATCAACAATAGATGTCCAAGTAACCACATTTCTCTCAGGCATCTTATCAAAAAGCTCTTTAGCCTCAATGATCCTCCCTTCTTTACAAAAACCATCAACCATAGAGCTCCAAGAAACAATATCTCTATTTACCATGCCATTAAAAATATGAATAGCCTGCTCTAGTTTCCCTGATTTCAGGAATCCATTGATCATTGTGTTGGAACAAATAGGATCACGCCACTCTATTGGCATCATTCCATACAAGTCCCCAGCTTTTTCAAGCATGCCAGCCTTCAGAAATCCCGTAATAATGGCCCCAAAAGACACTTCATTCCTTTCACCCATCTGAGAAAACAAACTGAAGGCCTCATCCACCTTGCAGCCATTCCTTACATAGGCCGTTATCATTGCGTTATATGCAGCAGTGCTTTTGTAGGGCATTTCTTCAAACACAATTCGTGCTTTCGCAAGTTGGCCATTCTGAGAATAGGCCGTGAGCATAGCAGTATAGGAAACAACGCTTTTGCGAGACAGTTGCCTGAAGATCGCTTCCGACTGTTGAATGTTGCCCTCTCTACCATGCTTTGTGATCTGGGAATTGCACTGGACCAAAAACTTGTCGAAGGGTTCACGTATCTGAACCGGTTTCAGATAGCAACGTTTAAAGATTGAAAATTTCAACGATGAAAGGTGCTGAGGACGAATACCAGATCCTAACACAAATAATAAGAAGTTGAGAACACTAACTAATGCAAAAACAAACTCACAGAAGAATAACCAGTCAATCCTACTGCATAAGATTTTCAATGCTCTACCTTTCATTTATCCCTTTGGGCTTACAGTGACCTCAGGATACCTGAAAATCAGAAGACTTAGTTTAGAAGGAGGAATTAACCGAATCAGTCTAATAGAAGTAAGCAAAATTCAACAAAAGTAGCTGACTTGGGCATTTCAGCCTTCCTTCACTTAGTTAGGGAAAGGAATGAACCTTATAGTCTAATTTTAGTATGCAAAATTCAACCGAAGTAGCTAACTTCGGCATTTCTGCCTTCCTTCATGCAGGCAGGCATCATAATTTTAACCGCAACGACATTCCCATCCACATTTTTCAAAACTATCACACTGTAGACGCTATGTGCTTCACTGAAAATTCTCTAATTCATTTAAGACTAAGCTAACAAATGGCGAACCTGCCATTGGAGCAATCAATGGCACCATATAGCCCTTTTCAGCTCCAGCATAACTATTCAACAGTTTAAAAACCCAGGGTACCTCGTTCGAAATTGCAAGTACTCGTAAACTGTAACAAGTTATGTAATAAGGAAACTGCAGGGAAATACCTCGATCACCTCAAGGGAATTGAGATTGAGCAGATAGTGGGCTCGGCTGCTACTCCCCCGCGATTATCGTCGAAGCGTATACTAGAATGCATAAGGAATCAATTTTACCAAGGCCCCCTCAGTTCTCCGCCAAATTGAAGACAATCCAGGGCTGACCTGGGGCTCCTTGTTAGGTCAGTTCGAGTCAAAGCTCTGTTGAGCGACTACGATGTCGAAATTTGGGGGGAAAGAGGGTTGCCGCCAAATCTCCTTCGTCAGTTCTTCGCTTTCGTGTTCTTACTTATTGGTTTTGTCCCGATTTATATTCTAGATAAATTACCATAAAGATCACTGAAATTGACTATGTATTCAAGTTTGCCACGGTAAAACAAATAACACAACAATCACTGAAAAGAAAATAATAAGGTTAATTGCATAGTTGGTCACTGAGATTACAAAAAAATGTTCATGTTTGGTTACTGAAAATATTTAAATTCAATTTTGGCCACTCAAATTAGTTAAATGGTTCAAGTTTGATCACTTTCTGTCCAACTCCGTTAAATTTGTCTGATATGGCAGTCAACGCTCAAAGTTGACCGTTAACTCAGTGACGTGGCAATTAAAAAAAATTAATCTTCTATCATTTTCAACTCATTTTCACAATAAAGTAAAATAAATAAAACAAAAAAAATATTATAATTACAAATCGAAAAGGGGGCGCTTCCTCCGCCACTACATCCCTTCCCTGCAACCAAACCAGTTCCCAATTCCCATCCCTAGCCCCGCCTGCTGCCGCCGTCCCCGCCACTCCCCGTCCATAATCACATGCACCTCCTCCACCCTCAACCCCGCCCCTTCCTCCCAAAGAAAAAAAAAGAATCTCGATCGTGTAGAACACAAATTCTAGTAAGAGGGTAGTGAGAGAAAATTCTCCCAACTTTTGGCAGAGGTCGATTTCCAGCTAGGGTTCGACCCTGCGGTACCTGCACCGGTCAAATTTCCTTCTTCTGTTTCTTCTTAGATTTTTCTTGATGAGTGCTTCAGGTGTACCGGCCTCTCTTCCGGCTCAGGGGGTTCCGACGAAGCCTTGGACGGATTTGTTTGGTATATAAGAGGCGAACATGCTTACTTACATAAAGCCGGAGGTCTACAAAGGGGGTCTTAGGATGCCTAAGTCATTCGTGAGGAAGGCTTGATTCGATGGAAGCACAGCCTCGTGGGGCAATTTCTTCACCAGATGTCGGATCTTCCAATTATTTGTAGATGGGCAAACAAGATCTGGGGGCGTGATGGGCAGGTTCGGGTCTCTCTGTTGGGAGAGCATTTGTTTCTGATTCAATTGCCTTTCGCAAGCGACCTGTGACTAGATCTTAGAGAGTGGCTCGTGGTTTTATCTGGATAATCTGCTCTACCTTCGTCCCTGGGCACCGGGGATTGACGTGGAAGATCTGGGTAGGAAAGCTCTTCCAATTTGGGTACGATTTTCCAATCTTCCTCTTGAGTATGTTAACTATCTGGGTCTCAATAGGGCTGCTAGTTGTTACAATCTTTGGATGAAGGTGTGGTTGTCACTTTACAGGCAGCCCCTAGGAAAGGTAGAAAGAAGGGAGGGCGTCCGCCCTCTACTTCTAAATGATTGTTCTATTTCTGAATGTGAGAGGGTTCAATAAACCCTCTACGCGTAGGGACTTATTCTCAGCCCTTAGGCAGAATAAAGTAGATGTAGTTGCTGTTTTAGAAATTAGAGTAAGAAAAAATAAAGCTGAGGAGGTGTCTGAAGAGTTTTTTTATTGTTGGAAGAGGCATTTGAATTACGTTGATAGTGACTTGGGTCGGATTTGGATGTTTTAGGATCCTGACAGTGTGGAGTTGAGGGTTTTGGTGCCTAGTAAAAATTTTGTTCACTGTTTGGTAAAGTCCGTGGAGGTCTTTCTTACTGCTGTATATGGCTCGAATGATGAGTTGGAAAGGATGGTTACATACACTGAATTAGCTAAGGTTAAAGTAAGTAGTCACCCATGGTTAATTGGTGGAGGGGGGGGGGGAGATTTTAATGCAGTTTTAAAACCATAGGAAGTCTCCAAGAGATGTGAGCCTACAAATTGTATGGCAGGTTTTGGTAATTGGGTTGCTTCTATGGAACTATTTGATCATATATAGAGTTGTCAGGCCTCATTTAACCTGGACAAATAATCAGGTGAGGAATCCACTTGCTAAAAGATTAGATCGTGCACTGGTGAATGAAAAGTGGTTCGACCATTTTCTTGAGTGCAGGATTGACATTAAGGCTGTCTATTTTTCGGATCATTGTGGGACCTTAGTAGCCTCCAAGCCGGTGCAGAAGACCCTTTCCTAAACCCTTTAAATATTTTGATTTTTTGTCTGCTAACCCTGAGTTTTTGCCATTGATTCAAGAACCTTCGGATACGCAGGTGGTTGGTCACCCAATAAATAGAGTAAGGACAAAATTAAATGCAGCAAAGAAGGTACTCAAGCAGCTAAATAAGGAAAAATATGATAATATCAGTGCTAAGGTGAAAGAGACTGAGTGGGCTCTAATCTCTGCAAGGGCTACATCTTATGGTTCTCCATCTGAGGAGTACTTTAGTCAAATCACATACCTTCAAGTCCAATTGGAAGAATTTCAGAAGGCAGAAGAATGTTTGTATAAGCAAAAATCAAGGGTTAACGTGTTGGAGCTTGGGGATAAAAGCATTAGATACTTTCATCAAGTAGTTAAGATTCGTACAGCAAAGAAAGCGATTAGGTAGCTTATCACTGTCAGTGGAGAATAAATTATAGATATTGGTAAGATTGCAGAGGAAGCAATGCAGTTTTACACACATTTATTTGGGGTAAGTGATCCCCTTGTGAATCTGATCGTGGTCGGTTGGAATCTCTGGTGAAGAACAGGCTGGGACCGCAGGAGGTTTTTCTTCTTACTTGTACTATCACAGAGAAGGAGATTCGACATATTGTACTTCATATGAAACCTCATAAGGCCCCAGGCCCGGATGGGTTTTCAGCAGGCTTTTACAGGAAAGCATGGCCAATTATTTGTGCTGATGTTCTAGCGGGCAAGGTTCTAAAAGGCGCTCGGCTCCTGACTTGCGCCTTGCCCGATTAGGCGTAGCCTAGGAGAGCCTAGGCGTTGAGAGCATAAATGAAAATAGTTCTCAAATATTTCCTGTTTTCTGGAATAATTCATATAATCCAAGTGCATATAAAATTAGCAATACCTAGTTCTTAACAGTAAACACTTAACATAACAAATAACAAGCAAATAGTGACCACTTCCTAGAATCACAAGTTCATAAAATGTCGAAATACTAAACAATAGTCAATAATTTCATAGGAAAATGTTCATTCTTCATCATCCAAGTAGGTCCGTCCAGCCACCACTTCATCTTCATCATCCTCAAAAGCAATCTCCTCACCATCCTCCTCCTCTTCAGACTCGAATTCTTCATCATGGAGCTCTCTCACTCGTGCACTCCTGCGAAGCTCACTCTGTTCACCCGCCATTGCATCTGTAACAATACTCAAGGGTGCACAATATGATTCCTCATCCTCATCTACGAATACATACATAGCATGGTCATCCCCTCCCTCAAATAGGAAGTCTTGTGTTTCAGTTGCATCAGTACTTAAGAGAATATCAATATTTTTCTTTTCCTTTATCTTCTTCTTCTTGGACATCAACCTGGAGTTGAACTGTATGTACACCAATTGATTGAGACGATCTGTTGTAAGTCTATTCCTTCTCTTGGTATGTATCTACAAGTACAAAATTGCATTGCAAGACAAATTGAGAATATGAAATATGAGTAATTGAATATAGTATAGATTAAGACTCAAATACTTACCAACTCAAAAGTACTCCAGTTTCTCTCATAGCCAGAAGAACTTGAGGTCAATGAAAGAATCCTCATAGCCATTTTTTGTAAATTTGGTGTGTCAACTACATACATTTTCTACCAAGCAACTAGCAAATATATTGGTAATTTGGTACTAAATTAGAGTCATGAAATAACAAGAAAAGAAGTCAAAGATATGAAGTAGTAGTGTAGTACTAACCAGGATTGTAATCGAAGTTTTGGCAAGTCCTTGCAAGTTTCTTCCCAAAGGCGCCTTCTCTCTTTTGAAACTTTTGAAATTCATAATTCACAACCTGATCTTGCTTGTCGTCATCACCACTGTAAAATGTCTCAACATAATCCATGAATGCGGTGGTGATATTTCCATCATTAAAGATGGACTCATCAACATAATTGTAGTGTGGATTCAACATATACGTAGCGCAATGCAATGGAGCATCAAGCCTCCCCTTCATCTTCTTGTCAACAATAGCTATAACTTATTTGTAGCGAATCTCCACATTACTAAATGCCTCTTTAATCTCCCTCTTTGCCTTTACAATTTCACCATAAACAAACCCCATAGATGGTTTCACATCACCATCAACCAAACGAAGAACTTTTACCAATGGTTCAAAAACCCTCA